AGAACATGAGTGTTAAATATGTCCTTGAAGGTTTAGAAAACAGTCTGTCTTCTGTACATTTTTTGACTACATGTGCATGTAAATTAACATGGAAGGAACCTATTAGTGATATTTCTAGTTATATTTCCATCTCGAATGGCTACCATACACACAATCAAGAGACACTGAGTCTTCAAGTTGCATGTATACAAATCTTGTTGACTAAAGGCATGATCTGGTGAAGAAATGGAGAAGATACGTACTGTTTTCCCTCGTGTCGTGCAATGGCGTCTGCCGTTGGTAAGTGCTGCCTCAGGTGTACTGGGGCGTGTCAGGACAAAGAATGTCACCTGACAACCTATTGTGTCTGTCTCGCCAAAGGGGGGGGGGATCTGCTACACCTGCTCATTAATTGTGCTGTCTGTAATTACCTTGGCAAGACAACAGACTAATTAAGTTGTAACACTAATGACCAGGCCAGAAAATACAGTTGTGTGTTTTGTTCAAGGAGTTACCCATAGGTTTCAATTCTGTTGTTTTTTTCAACCAATGAGAATAGCTCATGCTTTGTATATTTACTGCAAGCAAAAATGAAACAAACATATGACAACTTGGTTTCAGGGTTTTCAGTTCCCTTTTTCTGTACCAATGTCTTATAACGCAAAATGTTTTCCTTGTTTATATAATAACAACAAAGGACTCAGGTTTGGTTTCACATGCTTGACTGTGTAGAATGTGGGTCATGGTACAGGCAGGTACAGGGCTTCTTCAATACATTTCACTGTTCTATTGTCTTCTTCTTCTTCTTCCTTCTTTGTCATGGTCATTAATTTTGCTGCTTTGAACTTGTGATAACTGTTTTACATTTCAAAATTGGTCAATAATCATAACTAAAATATTTAGCAGCTCCAGAGAGCATTCTTTGTAGTACTGTCAGTTGTAGACACCAGGTCTGATAATTATATGATTTTGAATAAGTCTACACAGCTACATACTTGCGGTTTACTATGATCTTTTGAAACCACCACCATGACAAAGTTTACTATATGAAAGAAAATGACAGTTATTTTATGTATACTGAGTTTATGATAAAAAAATAAAATCTTATCACTCTCATCATGTTACAAGCACATAATGTTGCAGGAAGAATGTGACATTCTAAATGCTTAATTCAAGACTACAAACAATCATTTACATACTTTTAGGTGAGAAATAACCATGATTATTTTCTCCACATCAAGGCAGAAACAATCCTTGTACTAAGCTGGAATATCACACATCAAGGACATATACAGATCCTTGCACATATCAAGTTGTATGGTATGGTATTATATTGTAGAGGCCTACATGTATGTAATCCATGTGAACTGATGATTAGCCTTTTTTTGGTTCACGATTGCTCTGTATGTTGCCTGGATGGCATGTTTCATAATCATATCTTTCTTGCTAATTTGTTCTCCTGTGGCCCTTAGTATGCTATGGAAAATGAAATTCCTCTTTTATGCCAAAAAGCAGTTACTCAAGCAACTGGATATGATTTTGACTGTTTCCAACATCATATCCAATTGCTTGTTGTAATGAGTAACAGTTTTTTGGTATTCTTATTACCTGGATGTCTAACCTTCACCGACGTTTTGTTCCAGATCCGGCGTTCTGTCCGTAAGAAGCACACCCTGCCGTACTACAAGCTGCGCTTCAAGCCGTTCTTCGACTACCAGGAGCAGCTGAACGCTCCCGACGACGTCTATCTCCATGACAACAAGGTCACGGTGGGTCAGCTGGAGGTCACCATCGTGGAGTGTAGCCGTCTCCCACGGGTGTTCCAGGATTGTGTGGTGTACTGCACACTCTGTATAGGTAAGTTTCCAAAAGATTGTATATAAAGGATGACATCTTTTTGTGGCCCTACATGTTAAGTTGTATTTAAACACTAGTAGTATTGAACAGAGTTACCAGCTACGTTTGAGATGAACACATAGTAAACTAGAATTCCGAGATCTCATACCTCCATGAAATATGATCTTGATATGTAAATGTAAATTCTTTAATTGAATCAAATGACCTCTGCATTAACATGATATATGCATCGTGATGTATGTTAACTTTTGATTAATTTACAGATGTCCCAAGTATGACATTCTCATCATTCACCATTACGAAATCATAGAATTTTCACATTAATTATGCAAATTAGGTCATCATTTGCATAATTAGTATCTGTTGAAGTTCCGCCTGCCATAGGTTACATAGTATAATGTAAAACACTGTAATTATAGAATTTCCTCATTAATTATGCAA